TTGGCCACTTCCCCCCCCCCCCCTCCCCCGCTGCCTCTATCACAAAGCAGCAGCAAGTTGGGGAAGAGGAGAGGGTGCTGAAGGGAGACAGCTTAAAAGCCAGTTCCTCCCAGCTCCAGCTCTGTGGGAGGGGGTACGGGCACAGCGAGGGCCAAGTTTGAAATGTACAAGAGCCCCAGTGGGGACTCTTGTACGTTTCAAAGTTGGAATGCCTCGTGGACCCTGGAACCAGCAGTGGAATGCAGAAGTTCTTATTCACTAATCGAATAGTCGATGGAAATCCCATCGACTATTCAATTAGTTAATTAATCTAAATTTAACATCCCTAAACTAAGGTGGAATTTTTTCTAAGAGCCAGCATTCCTGTATTCAAATAATTACTTTAGGGGCCTACTATTAAAATATTAAGACAGCATTCATCAAGCTTTGATGTTCTATAATTTGGATATTGGGTTGAAAAAGGTATACAGTTTCAGTACAAATAAGTTTGCTAAGTGACTCTTGTTTACTGACTATTAAAAGTCTGGGATTTCAGATTAATCCCAGGGAGGTATGGGGAAAATTGTACAACCCAGATCCTACACACATTCACAGACCAAATGTGAATTGCTGCTTGGGGTGGCTCTTTCAAAGACTCCTTCACTTTCTTAAGGCTCAGGCACAGATTTCTCTGCTGTGAGATGCTCAGCTCAGCTCCATCCTTCCCTGAGTAGCATGCAGCCATTGTTTGAGAAGGAGGAAGGGGGAAAGCAAAAGAGTATAAATAATAGAAAACATAAAAAATTAAAGGATATGGGATAGAAAATGAATTTTGGAGACAGGAAATGAGTGGGTAGTAGTAGCAGCTCTCAGGCTACACATGGAACAAAGAAGGAACAGGAGGCTTCCATCTACCAAATCCTTGCAAGAGACTTCAGCAAAGAAAAGTTCTGAACCATGAAGTTAAAATGAAATGTCATCACTCTACGTTCATTTTCTGAATCTTTGCAGGGAAAGCAAAAAAAATGTTTTTGAGAAAATGTCATTGTTCTCTATCATGTGATTTCAAAATTGCCTGTAAAATGCAGGAGCTATATATAATTTTAAATGTTTCCAGAGCATAGCAAAGAAATACTTTGCTCTGCATTTAATTCTCAAGTACATTGCTTTGTTGTAATATTAAGTAGTCTGTTGCAATAGTTCTCAACTAGGGATACGTATACTCCAAGGTACATCAATTCAAGATATTTGCCTAGTTTTATAACAGTCTACATAAAAAGCACTAGCAATGTCAGTACAAAGTAAAATTTCATACAAGGACTCATTTATAGTGCTCTATATATTGCACACTAAAATGTAAGTACAATATTTATATTCCAATTATAATTATATAGTTAAAAATAAACATTTTATTAGTGTGCAGTGATATTTGTGTGTCCGATTTTTAAGTAAGTAGTTTTTAAGTTAAGTGAAACTTGGAAGAATACAAGATAAATCACTCCTGGAAGGGGTGAGAATGACTGGTCTATTGCGAAATAAACTCTGAATAATTTTTTTTCTCTGTCAGGTCTTTGCTACAGAGAGCATAAAACTTGCTTCAGTTCTCACTGCCTTTTCTAATCAGGTAATGTATAACTTATAAATGATACCAATAATTATTTACTTCCCCACTTTTACAGTTATGTTTACCAAGACACTTGAGGTATTTGATTTATCTTGTAACCTACATATATGTTCTGTGATTGTAACACTAATTGGTTTAACATCTCAAAATTAATTTCAGCTGGAAGATGACCACAAACCTTTGCTTCTGTTGGAGATTGACAAGCTGATCCCCGTGTGCCAGCAGCTTCAGATAACAGCTAAAAACACTGTTCAGGGGAAAAGTGCTACTTTTACAAAGGTAAGTAAATTGTAGAAGCATGCAAGCCTAGTTTTCAAATCCTGTTACTTGCCTGTTTCAGCTCTTGTTCACACAAATAACAGAATTGCAGATTTAGATCTGATCCATTCTAATAAGGTTTTTTCTTTAATCATGAAACAATTATGAGTATTGATAAGAACTGATATACCAGCTGAACCCAAATCATAAGTATGGACAAAGTCAAGATTTGTACTAATGAAACTTACCTCTGCTTGACACTGAAGTAAGCTATATCTACAAATTGTGTCTGTTCTTTTCTATGCTTAAGATTTGCACTGGGCCAGCTACATTGCCAAATTCCCAGTGTAGACAAGATCTTGGAAAGCAAGGTGCTACAGAAAGGAAGAAATATTAAGCCACATTTTTCATTCTCCTTTTTCAAGGCTTAAGACAGTTCTTGGTTCTATAAATGTTTGAGCAATATTCTTCTGACAACTTGAATTAATCTGGCTCATATTGACTCTAAAGTATTTGCTAGCAAATTGCTAAGTAAATATTATAAATCAGTTATGCAACCTTATGTTATGGACACAGTATTTCCAGTCTAAATTTGTCTAGCTTCAACTTCTGCTAGAAAATAAATGAACTATGGCACTCATTGAAGGACTCCAGTGTGACCCTCTCCTCAGTGGGGATCTACACTCCATCACCAGAAGAAAATATGACAGGCCACAGCCAGTACTCCAACCATTTTGCCACCAGAAATTAAAGAGAATGCAGTGCAACAAGCACATTTCCTCCTCTTTTCACCATTATGAAATGCTTTTGACTGGGACATTTAAGAGGTACGAACCATTCCAGATGCCATGTCCATTGCCTCAAGTTTTCAATACAGGCAGTCCCCGACTTACAAACGGGGCTTCTCTTGCCCCGGAGGACACGGACTGCGGGACCTTGCGGTCCCGCCGCCCGTGTGCTCCGGGGCAAGAAAAGCTGCTCTGCGTCTCCCTGGTCTGCAGAGCAAAGCCACGGAGGGGCTCGGGCAGCAGAGCAGCCCAGGCGCGCCTAGGCTGCCCCGCTGCCGGAGCCCCTCCGTGGCTTTGCTCCGCGTCTTCCTGGTCTGCAGACCCGGGAGACGCGGAGCCGCTTTTCTCGGCAGAAGGAGGGGCATAGAGCCTAACGAAACAGAAACTGCAAGACTGCCTTCCCCAGATTTTGATCTGATCTACATGCATTTGTGATAGCATTAATATTTGGTAAGAAACATTTATGGAAGACAAGTAGCAGCCCTGTAAAATGTCCAATATTGAAATGTTGTTGAGAAATGTGACTGACAGAGCCTGAACCCTCATTAAAAGGGCTCTTACCCTTTGTGGAGGCAAAGTCTGGTGTGTATGTCTTTGTGGAAGTAAGAATTTGTCACTTTATTTACTGAAGGGAATACTGCTGTTAGGGTGACATTGTGAACCTCAATCTGCAGACAGAGATAGAGCTGTCTAAGATCCTAAACAGGATGTACAGCCTCTCCTTCTGGGAGATGCTGAAGAGGAACTTGTTCTGTGGATCCCAGATGAAAGGGAAGAGAAGAAGAATTCTATGGTATAGCCAGTGTGATATCAAGAATCATTTGTCTGTCATTACCTAGCTTTGGGAGAAATATTAGAGCCACCAAACTGGGTACAGGCAGTCCCCGGGTTACGTACAAGACAGGGACTGTAGGTTTGTTCTTAAGTTGAATCTGTATGTAAGTCAGAACTGGCGGTCAGTTTCAGTAGCGGCTGAATCTGGACGCCAGTTCCGACTTACATACAGATTCAACTTAAGAACAAACCTACAGTCCCTGTCTTGTACGTAACCCGGGGACTGCCTGTACCCAGTTTGGTGGCTCTAATATTTCTCCCAAAGCTAGGTAATGACAGACAAATGATTCTTGATATCACACTGGCTATACCATAGAATTCTTCTTCTCTTCCCTTTCATCTGGGATCCACAGAACAAGTTCCTCTTCAGCATCTCCCAGAAGGAGAGGCTGTACATCCTGTTTAGGATCTTAGACAGCTCTATCTCTGTCTGCAGATTGAGGTTCACAATGTCACCCTAACAGCAGTATTCCCTTCAGTAAATAAAGTGACAAATTCTTACTTCCACAAAGACATACACACCAGACTTTGCCTCCACAAAGGGTAAGAGCCCTTTTAATGAGGGTTCAGGCTCTGTCAGTCACATTTCTCAACAACATTTCAATATTGGACATTTTACAGGGCTGCTACTTGTCTTCCATAAATGTTTCTTACCAAATATTAATGCTATCACAAATGCATGTAGATCAGATCAAAATCTGGGGAAGGCAGTCTTGCAGTTTCTGTTTCGTTAGGCTCTATGCCCCTCCTTCTGATACTGATGTGACTGGAATACACATTTGAAACTATTTGAAGAATAACTATTTGAAGGTACCTCTTACCTGTTGTCAGAGATGTCTGTGCAGATGTGTTCCACAACTCACCATCCATCCCCTGTGTATTGGAGTCTCAAATCTGGTGATTGTTACAAAGGGATTGAAGGAAAGTTAGACAGGATGGGGGTAGGGATTAAGAAGCCAGGGAACATGAACACTATATTTATGGGTACTTCTGGGCAAAGGTGTGTGGACACCTGAGTGGACTAGACATCTGTATCCACTCTTATGCAGGTAGGTAATAGTTTTTTCAGACAAACCAGGATGCAAGTGCTCCTAAATACCATGTCCTCCTCCCACTTACAGGGTTTCCTCAGTGAAGAGATTCAGAGTATCTTTCTCCACACTATACAGAAAAGTAATTTGCTTCTATTCATGGCATGGGTGAACATCTCCCTTGTTGTAAAGTCTTTTTTGGCCTTTAAGTGATTGACTCTTATGGTTGCCCAATAATAAGACTTTGAATGAGAAACACTAAACACTTGAAGCCTGCATTGCATCACTGGGCAGACAGGGTGGGGTAATAACTCTCTCTTGCCCAAATAGGCCTTCACTGAGACTTCCTGGTGACTAAATTTTATTTTTTGCTGCAAGTCCTTGAAGCATACTTTCAATATAAATATATTGTTTCTTAAATGTTACCTTTAAATGTATACAACTTACAATGACTGAGTCTTAGCAAAGTTAGGAGCTTTCTGTAGACACCTCACAATATCCTTTATGGATAAATACCTTCCAAGGTATGTGTGATGTCACATATATGGTCTTCCATGAAAACAAAGGTCACTGTCATCCAAGTTTCTGCCTGAGGTGGTTTTGAACTTCCACATTAGTCAATCTTCCAGTTTCCTCCCTAAACCACATTCTGCCCTAGCTGAAATGAAGCATCACATATTGGAAGTTGTAAAAGAACTGGCTTCATCATATCTAAACAAAACCATGTTCAGGTGAATGACCAGAAGAGCTTAGTGGGGTTTGAAAGCTTCTCTCGCTCACCAAGAAGTTGGTCCAATAAAAGATATTACACACCTTGTCTGACATAACTTTTTCATCAAATGCCAAAAAGTAAGGCACAATTCACATAATTCCAGAGATGGTTCTAAGTAAATCTGACTGTTAGAGGAGTTTTATAAGATGTAGATAAGATGTATCTGGACATATAGGGGCTCACTCCACCAAGGCTTAGGCAATTTGTTTAGATAACACGCTGTAATCTGATATGCAGAGCAGCAATATAGAGCTCAATCCACACATTTATCACTCTATGTCTGGTGCAAGAAAAGACAGAACTATGTAGCACTTTAAAGACTAACAAGATGGTTTATTAGGTGATGAGCTTTTGTGGGCTACAGATTGGATACTGCTTTTGACAGGGCTATCCTACAGATACTTTTCAAGTAGGCTTCTGCTCACCTACCTGCTGGATAATTGCCTGTTGATTGTAGAAAATCATTTAAAGAAAGAATGGCTACTTAACAGTTCCTGTGCCTCTTTGAGATGTTATCCACACAGATTCTATGTCCTGTCCTCTTTTCCCCACAGTCTCTGTCCTGGGCTATGGAAACCCAAGACACATCTAGACACTGCTATTCAAAAGAATCCAGTGTCAGGCACAAAAGTGCTAACAATGGAAGTTGTGTGGGCAACACATGTAGAAGTAACCAACTGTATTCTAAGCTAAGTAACTGTTCTTTCATGCACTCAGAAGATATTAGTGCATAAAACTGCAGTCTTGGTGTTCAGTATATACCCTTATCAGTTATTATAGAACAGATGCTAGCTGTAGGCTCATGTGGAATTATTGAAAACAGCTGTCACTTTCAATTGCGTCCTTCAAGTGCTAAGAAAAATCCACATGAGTAATTCAAGAGCTGAATGGTACTGGAAAGTTTTGAATTCTGATTGGCCCAGATTGGATTGTCAGCTTCCTCTTACAAGTAAATTGTTCTTTCAGTAAGAGGTACAAGACAACTAATGCTACATTTTCTAATACAGAACAGGGAAAATGTCAAAGGCATATACTGTAGTAATTCAACCTGAGTCTGTACCACATCGGTGCATTTAGTAAAAAAAGTAAAGAGGCTGTTTTAGTTTTAAAATAAGAAATAATCATTCCATATTTTAAAGGATTAGTGTGTGATATTTTCATCTAATTATGATTTTACTTGCATTCTATTTTAGGTTGACACGTGCATTCGCAAAACAAAGGGTGTAATGACCATATTATCCCAAGTTCTCCCACTCAGCTGCAAGCTACTGAGAAAAGTAAGTTAATGATCCATATGCAGCAACGAGGAAAATTAAAAGCAATCCTGTTTTTCATCTTTGTAATTTTTTTAAACACAGTGTGGAACTGGAAACGGCTGGCTTAGATCACCTCGTCCATGGAGACAGAACAGATTACAAAGAAATACAAATGACGACAGCATGGAAGGGAAAACTGATGCCTTTGGAATAAAATCCTTGGAACATCATGTAACAAATCTGACATTTTTAGAGAGCAAATAATTGTGTTTAGGAATGGAAGAATTTCATGTGGAAATTACAAACTGGCTAAAGTTTCATAGTTGCTTTCTTTTGCAAAAGATTAAGCAAATTATTTGAATTAAAGCTGTTGAGACCTTCTCACATCTAATAGATGTCATGGTACTCAACAGTAACAATTGCAACAGTCAGTTTAACTGTTCTATATTTTTATAATGTGAATGTGTCTCCTTTGCTTACCCTTAATGCTGTTATTTTTTTAACTAACACTTGTAAACATGTTAACGAAAGTTTCACCAAAAGATGCTGCTAATAAGACATTTATGCAGAAAAACTGGATAATTTTAGAGGATACATGATGCACGTAATACTACTATGGAAGTTAGTCACTCGTTGGCCAGTATGAGGAAGATAATCTGGAAGGTTCTGGCCTGAAGCACTGAATGTTGCCGTCTTAACTATTAGATATTTCTGTAATGAACAAAGCTGATGGAAAACCTCATCTGCTTTGCAATATACGCGCCATTTTTAGGCTAGTTATATTTAAATAATTTAATTTCACTGCTGTCAATCTGAACTAAATACCTGTTGATCCTCCAAAAAATATTTTATATTTCCAGTGAACTAATACTTAAGAAGAATTTTCTTTGTTTATAATCTCTTTAGTGATAAGCTGATCTTGCTGCTGCTTTTGATTTATTATCAAAACTTAGTAGGATTTGAAATGCATGTGAAACTACTGAGGTCTTCATTTAAAATGTATGGCGTCCTTTAGTTTCATAAAGTAGATTTTTACAGTGCAAGATTTAGATCTTAGAAAAGATATTTTGATAGTAATTACAACTAATCATTGGTACAAAAGGCATTAGTGGATTTCAAGACACTATAGCCACAGGTGAAACAGAAGTTGGAGATGCCATACTTTTTATTTTGTTCATAGTATTTATCATTCTTTGTTTTGTTTCTTTAGCCTAGGTTTTGTTCTTGTTTTACAACTTTGAGAACAGTAGAGTACTCTGGATTTTAGGTCTTATGGGTAGTGGAGCATCATTCTCTCACCACTAGCTCTTTGTGTGTCCTTTACTGGACATTGCACCAAAGATGCAACAGCTGAAATCCTCAACTCTAGGGATTGAGGCTTAATCTTGAGCAGTCAGAAATGCTCTTCATTTAAGTACCTGTGTAAGATGACCTCTGGGGTACTGAAAATCAGTGAAACTAAGATTTTTTGCTTATGACATTAACCACTAGAAAGATAGTTATTTTTCTACACCTCATCTGTCCAAAAAGATACAGAACATAATAAATGTTTAAATGGTTTATTTCTGTATGAAAGTAAATGACTGTTTACTCTTTTAAAATACATTAAACAACCCATAAAAATGAAATAACTTAATTTCAAGTTCCCTACATTGAGTCTATACAATTTTACTACTCATGTTACAATTCTTGCATTATGGGATATACTGGAAGTAGATGATATCAAGTGTTATCTATGCAATACCTAATTCTGAAGCTACTTACAGCGTAGTTCAGGTATTTATGTATTCAATTAAAAAGAGAGCTTCATGAAGTGGAATTAAAACGTTTTAACAAAACTTCTTCATATTCCTTCTGTGTCAGAAGTCCTTGAGTTACGGTCTTGCTTTCTTCAAATTTGGGTAGTACAACTGCAATGTATCCCTCAGTTGATGGCTAGAAAATAAGATCAGAATATATAATACAAGAATAAAAAGGAGGAAAAAATAGAAGCAAAATTCTTACCTTTTCTTGCAGAATAGATGGATTTTCCAGGATATTTTCATTAACTTCCATTAGCCGCCCTCTTATACAACTGCAAAGAAGTTTTAAGTTTTAGTAAAACCATACTTTGTAGTCAAACTACAAAAGAAAGAATTTTACTTACCTATATACAGTATATTCTTCTCCATCTGAACAAGATATTCTGCACAAAGGGGCAAGTTCTGTTAGAAACTGAGCTCCCTGCATGTAAAACAAAGATTTCTGGTTAATTTAAAATAAATTGGTTGGTTTTCAGTTAAAGTATGGCATTCTTGTTATACAGGGAGAAAATTCTGAAACTTGCTACAACCAACAATAAACAGTAGACACTTGTCTACTATCTTCTGAGGTTGTTTTAAAAGACTTTTGATCAGAGTTTTCCCTTTTTCTAAATTTTCCATATGACAAAGTGACAGTCTGGAATCACTATCTACAATGTAGGAAAGACTTCTTTTTATCAGTGCAAATGAACTGAAGTAAATGTGGACATTTACATGAAATAAGTCTTATACCAAAATAAAGACATTTATTTTGTTCTACTTTGTGTGTAGACCAGCCCTCAGGCATTATCTGCACATACACACCTGGAACAGCTTTCTTAAACCAAAATTGGTTTAGCTTAAATCTGATTCTAATCAGTGTAAGGTAAACAAATGAATATCCACACAGTCTTTTGCTCTGGTATAACTAAATGTTTGAAATTACACCTTTAAACAAATGTTACACAACCCATAATTTGCCATATATGTATGCTCAACAAAAGGCAAGATTTCATGTCTATTAAATCCTTGACATCTGTGAAGAGGCTTTTTATTTTTAAGTAGATAAGTATCCAGCATAAAAAGATATGATACCTTTCAGCCCTATCTACAGTAGAGAAAGTTTCCTGACATTTTCCATTCTTTTTAAGACTTGGGATGTAACAGTATAGCTGTTTAAATAGTTAGGCTACGTCTTCACTGTGAGTTCTTTGGCAGAAAATATGCTCATGAGGGGCTCATTAGCATAAATCACAACATCATTAGCATATTTTCTGCTGTTTCTTTTTGCACAAGGGATTTTTGCGCAAAAAGAAGCAGTATGGACAGGGTTTTTTGTGCAAAAACCCCATTTTGAGCAAGAGCCTTATGCCTTTCTGGGACAGACATAAGGATCTTGCACAAAACGGGTTTTGCGCAAAAAAACCTTGTTCACGCTGCTTCTTTTTGCGCAAAAACCCCTTGTGCAAAAAGAAACAGCAGAAAATATGCGAAGGATGTCACAACTTATGCTAATGAGGGACTCAGTAGCATATTTTCTGCCAGAATAACTTGCAGTGAAGACAAAGCCTTAACAGATAAGCATGCGCCTATTGGTTACCTTCACTGTTACAGGCTGGCTGCTGCCCATACAGAGGTGGGGAATAGGGCCATCAGGCAGAAGCCAACTTAAAAGCCAGCTTCTAGCACGCACCAGTTCCCGGGAAGCTAGCTGGCACCCCACAATGCGGGCTCTGCAGTATAAAGCTTATACTGGCAGCATGTAACAGTGTAACTGCTGAGATTTTCAGCTGTTACAGTTACCTAATTAACCTCTTTTTAACATCCTAGTTAACACCAGCATAAGCAACCTACTTCAGAGAAATCTAACCCTGATAATGTAACAATTTTACATAATCCTGCTCAGTACAGTCCTAAGCAAGGGGTGCTTAGTACAGATCTTGCTGGACGTATTTAAAAAGCAGTCTAGGTTGGAGCTCTTGAATTTAGCAATCTTGGAGGAGCTGAAGAAGGGTCAACAATGATAGACAACTTAAGAAATTTCTGGCTCTAACGCAGTAGATCCTGTTTGTTGCCATTAGAACTAAGCAAGTACTTCAAAGAATTAAAATGCAAACTGATAAGGAAGGTTTAAAAAAGCCATACCCGCTTTGATTTTCCAGAGACCTTATTTTGAAGTCTACTACAGTTAGCACTGATTTGGTAATTAATATTCTTAATTGTTTTTCCATTTTGAAGAAGAGGATGAGCTTCTGCCAGCGTGATGACACAGATTCTGCAAGAAAAGATATAGTTACCCTACTGTACTTAGGCTTCATCCCTGGGATTGTTAGCCTTGTAATAAGCAAATGGTTACTACCTCTTCTAGTAGGTTAGTTCTATAAAAAGGCAATATTTTCTTAATTCAGCTGCTACAAAGGGCATGTGTCTTCACTGCATTGTTTACTCAGGCTCTGACTACTCACAAAGCCCAACAGTGGAGAGTTCAACACAATACTTTGACTCATCTAAGACTGCAAGCTAAAAAGAGTTGCTCACCTACCCCCTTTGTAGTGAGGATGTGGGCTGAACCACTCAAATACTGACAGTCCTCCAAAAACCTTCAGGCAATTCACTGGGAAAGCATCGGAAGCTCAGCTTACAAGGCACAGGACAATGAGGTAAACCTCAAAGTTTTAACACCATAAAATGCAGCACCAGTGCACAGATAACTCACATATAGCTTTGCTACGTGGCTTCTCAGACCTGGGTGCCAATCATTCAGTTAACTGCAGTGAACACACACCTTATGTGTCAATTATACCTGCATGCGTCAGTGACAGAAGTTTTACATATCCGTTGCCCTCTTACATTTTTAAATTACAATTACAAGGCCAAATTCAATCCTCATTTTCATGCATCAGTCTTGCTGGAAAACTTTGGTGATTCATTGCACAGTTGTCTCACTAACTGGAAACTGGCCTACAGATCTATCATCACAGATACACAAACCATTAAGCATCCTTGCTTTATTCTCAGATGTCAGATTTAAACTGCAAAGTAGGTAGCTAAAGCCATCTCTCTACTTGCAAACTGATCAAGTTTACTGCAAATAGGAAAATTCACAGGCCATTTAAGATTAAAATAGCTCAAACAGCAGCAGCAAACTTACTCAACTGAGGGATCTATTCAGCTACAGTCAAGGTATGTTGATTACCTAAATGTCAGATATCTGCATTGCAGTCTGCTAATTTTAATCTTACATTTTAGTTTTAAATGGTCTTTCCACAAATGCAACAGCATAAGGTGACAATACCACCTCAGTAACCCTTATATTATACATACACATTGAATTTAAAGATATATTTTAAGGTCAGCAGCTTTTCTGAGTTTTAGAAAATACAGGCAGTCCCCGGGTTACGTACAAGATAGGGACTGTAGGTTTGTTCTTAAGTTGAATCTGTATGTAAGTCGGAACTGGCATCCAGATTCAGCCACTGCTGAAATTGACCAGCAGCTGACTACAGGAAGCCCAAGGCAGAGTTGCTCTGCCCCAGGCTTCCTAGAATCAGCCACTGATCAGTTTCAACAGGCTGAATCTGGACGCCAGTTCTGACTTACATACAGATTCAACTTAAGAACCCCAGGAGTCCAAGTCAGCTGCTGCTACTTCAAGACAGACCCAAGAAAACCAACAATAGAACACCACTTGTCATCACCTACAACCCCCAACTTAAACCTGTCCAACACATTATCAATAAACTACAGCCTATATTGGAACAGGATACCATACTCAAAGAGGCTCTGGGAGACAGACCCATAGTCTCCTATAGACAACCACCTAACCTCAAGATCATTCTTACCAACCACCACAGGACATACCACACTAATACCAACCCTGGTACCTTCCCTTGCAACAAACCCCGTTGCCAGCTTTGTCCACATATTCATTCTGCTGATACCATTATTGGACCTAACCAAGTAAGTTATAAGATCAAGAACACATATTCCTGCGCATCCAGAAAGCATATTTTCTGCTGTTTCTTTTTGCACAAGGGATTTTTGCGCAAAAAGAAGCAGTATGGACAGGGTTTTTTGTGCAAAAACCCCATTTTGAGCAAGAGCCTTATGCCTTTCTGGGACAGACATAAGGATCTTGCACAAAACGGGTTTTGCGCAAAAAAACCTTGTTCACGCTGCTTCTTTTTGCGCAAAAACCCCTTGTGCAAAAAGAAACAGCAGAAAATATGCGAAGGATGTCACAACTTATGCTAATGAGGGACTCAGTAGCATATTTTCTGCCAGAATAACTTGCAGTGAAGACAAAGCCTTAACAGATAAGCATGCGCCTATTGGTTACCTTCACTGTTACAGGCTGGCTGCTGCCCATACAGAGGTGGGGAATAGGGCCATCAGGCAGAAGCCAACTTAAAAGCCAGCTTCTAGCACGCACCAGTTCCCGGGAAGCTAGCTGGCACCCCACAATGCGGGCTCTGCAGTATAAAGCTTATACTGGCAGCATGTAACAGTGTAACTGCTGAGATTTTCAGCTGTTACAGTTACCTAATTAACCTCTTTTTAACATCCTAGTTAACACCAGCATAAGCAACCTACTTCAGAGAAATCTAACCCTGATAATGTAACAATTTTACATAATCCTGCTCAGTACAGTCCTAAGCAAGGGGTGCTTAGTACAGATCTTGCTGGACGTATTTAAAAAGCAGTCTAGGTTGGAGCTCTTGAATTTAGCAATCTTGGAGGAGCTGAAGAAGGGTCAACAATGATAGACAACTTAAGAAATTTCTGGCTCTAACGCAGTAGATCCTGTTTGTTGCCATTAGAACTAAGCAAGTACTTCAAAGAATTAAAATGCAAACTGATAAGGAAGGTTTAAAAAAGCCATACCCGCTTTGATTTTCCAGAGACCTTATTTTGAAGTCTACTACAGTTAGCACTGATTTGGTAATTAATATTCTTAATTGTTTTTCCATTTTGAAGAAGAGGATGAGCTTCTGCCAGCGTGATGACACAGATTCTGCAAGAAAAGATATAGTTACCCTACTGTACTTAGGCTTCATCCCTGGGATTGTTAGCCTTGTAATAAGCAAATGGTTACTACCTCTTCTAGTAGGTTAGTTCTATAAAAAGGCAATATTTTCTTAATTCAGCTGCTACAAAGGGCATGTGTCTTCACTGCATTGTTTACTCAGGCTCTGACTACTCACAAAGCCCAACAGTGGAGAGTTCAACACAATACTTTGACTCATCTAAGACTGCAAGCTAAAAAGAGTTGCTCACCTACCCCCTTTGTAGTGAGGATGTGGGCTGAACCACTCAAATACTGACAGTCCTCCAAAAACCTTCAGGCAATTCACTGGGAAAGCATCGGAAGCTCAGCTTACAAGGCACAGGACAATGAGGTAAACCTCAAAGTTTTAACACCATAAAATGCAGCACCAGTGCACAGATAACTCACATATAGCTTTGCTACGTGGCTTCTCAGACCTGGGTGCCAATCATTCAGTTAACTGCAGTGAACACACACCTTATGTGTCAATTATACCTGCATGCGTCAGTGACAGAAGTTTTACATATCCGTTGCCCTCTTACATTTTTAAATTACAATTACAAGGCCAAATTCAATCCTCATTTTCATGCATCAGTCTTGCTGGAAAACTTTGGTGATTCATTGCACAGTTGTCTCACTAACTGGAAACTGGCCTACAGATCTATCATCACAGATACACAAACCATTAAGCATCCTTGCTTTATTCTCAGATGTCAGATTTAAACTGCAAAGTAGGTAGCTAAAGCCATCTCTCTACTTGCAAACTGATCAAGTTTACTGCAAATAGGAAAATTCACAGGCCATTTAAGATTAAAATAGCTCAAACAGCAGCAGCAAACTTACTCAACTGAGGGATCTATTCAGCTACAGTCAAGGTATGTTGATTACCTAAATGTCAGATATCTGCATTGCAGTCTGCTAATTTTAATCTTACATTTTAGTTTTAAATGGTCTTTCCACAAATGCAACAGCATAAGGTGACAATACCACCTCAGTAACCCTTATATTATACATACACATTGAATTTAAAGATATATTTTAAGGTCAGCAGCTTTTCTGAGTTTTAGAAAATACAGGCAGTCCCCGGGTTACGTACAAGATAGGGACTGTAGGTTTGTTCTTAAGTTGAATCTGTATGTAAGTCGGAACTGGCATCCAGATTCAGCCACTGCTGAAATTGACCAGCAGCTGACTACAGGAAGCCCAAGGCAGAGTTGCTCTGCCCCAGGCTTCCTAGAATCAGCCACTGATCAGTTTCAACAGGCTGAATCTGGACGCCAGTTCTGACTTACATACAGATTCAACTTAAGAACCCCAGGAGTCCAAGTCAGCTGCTGCTACTTCAAGACAGACCCAAGAAAACCAACAATAGAACACCACTTGTCATCACCTACAACCCCCAACTTAAACCTGTCCAACACATTATCAATAAACTACAGCCTATACTGGAACAAGATACCATACTCCAAGAGGCTCTGGGAGACAGACCCATAGTCTCCTATAGACAACCACCTAACCTCAAGATGATTCTTACCAACAACCACAGGACATACCACACTAATACCAACCCCGGTACCTTCCCTTGCAACAAACCCCGTTGCCAGCTTTGTCCACATATTCATTCTGCTGATACCATTATTGGACCTAACCAAGTGAGTTATAAGATCAAGAACACATATTCCTGCGCATCCAGACATATAATTTATGCTATCATGTGCCGAAAGTGTCCGTCTGCTATGTACATTGGACAAACATCTCAGACACTTCGCCAAAGGATTAATGCCCACAAAACAGATATCAGACAAGATCACAAAGAGAAAACAGTTTCTTGCCATTTTAACCAGAAAGGACACTCTCTAAATGACTTAACCACCTGCATTCTGCTACAAAGACCTTTTACATCTGCACTTGAAAGGGAATCCTCTGAACTGTCATTCGTGTTAAAATTCGACACTCTCCGGGAAGGAATGAACAAACACTCAAACTATCTTACCCATTACCAAGATAGCTTCCCCAATTATCACCTCTAATACCATTAGCTCACAGACATCCCACTCTCCCCACCTCTAATATCATCAATTCACAGACACTTACCTTTCTTCCTTCCCCCCCTCTGCATCCCCCTCCTGTTCTGAAATGTGATTTGTCCTTTTCATATATGTTCATTTTTTTTAATTGTATCCTTTGGTATATATGGTTGTGACTATTTTCTTCCACTATTTGATCTGAGGAAGTGGGTCTGGCCCACGAAAGCTCATCATCTAATAAACCATCTTGTTAGTCTTTAAAGTGCTACATTGTCCTGCATTTTGCCGGTGCAATTGTGTGTGTTGTTAGTAATACCCAGGGAAGAAACTGACAAAATTTGATACACCTGGAATTGTCCAGGGGAAGTTCTGTGATCTGTCATATTTATGGTGACCATATTTTCTGAACCAAAATTAGAGACATGTTAGCCACACCTCGTACCTCCCGTTAGCCACACCCCCTGCCACAGGAAGTCCCACCCTGGAGGCAGTACTCCCGGGGTCAAGATGGACACATGACCAGAAGTAAAGGGTGTTGTGTGACCCCTCTAAAAACTCCTCCCACCATCCTCTACCAATAGGGATGAGCTTGGCCCCCACACGACCCTCCGTGCAATAATCCTACAATTGCATTAACCCAACTTGCATTAACTTGGGGGGGGAGAGTCCCCCCCTAAGATTTTCCTCCCACAAGTGGAGTGAATTTTGTCTTGTGCACCAGTATTGAGGTCATGTGCACTTGTTCAGATATGTATCATTGTGGCACCCAAGTTATTATATTTTATAAGCCTCTCCCTTTTCCTCTGTGGCCATGTGTCCTACCCTCCGCTCGCCCCATCTGCTCCCCTGGTGCCTGCTGCCCCTCACCCTTCGCCCTCCTCTGCTGTCCTGGCTCCTGCCCTTCTCACTCCCTTCAGCACTTTGGGGACCTGCCCCCTTCTGCACTAGCCCTTCTCTTCCCCTGTGACCATTCCTCCTCTAGCCCCAGTCTGATCATCTGTAGCTTTCCCTCCCCATCCTCTCTACTAACACCTCCCTCTACTCACCTGTCCTGACTCTGTCCTCTGGTGCCCATCCCTCCCCTCCACAGGTCTGCCCTTCTGCTTCACCCTCCAATTCCCTGGCACCTGCACCTTTCCTTACCCCTGCACCTTCATGCTGCCACTCCCTTTCCTCACTGCCCCGACCTCCTTGCCCTTTCTCCCTAATGCCCACCTCCTCACCACCCTCTGCCCCAGATTCCCTCATGCCCCTCTGCGCCCTCAACACATGACTTACTCCATCCCCTGCCTTCCTCATGCCCACCCTTCCTGTCAACCCCTCTTCTCCCAGCACCCACTCCTCTCCTCTCCTCTCTTCCTCCCTCTTGCCCCCATTGTCCCTCCCCTCTCCTCCCCTGCCCTTTTCCTTATTGTCTTCTCTTCACCCCCTGGCATTTGTCTCTGCCCCGCCCTTCCTCCCCATCCCCGTCCCCTCAGCACAAGCCCCTTCCTCTCCTCATCTCCACCTTCCCCTTAGTTCTCCCTCCTGTCCCTTCCCTCACCTTTTGCCTTTGACGTGGAAAGCAGTTTGCGGGGGCTGCAGCCACGGTGCTATTTTTATTAGCACAGGCTGGCCCCAAAAGCTCCCGCAGCCCAAGCCGCTCCTGAGGCAGGACAGCATGCTGGGACTGGAGCAGAGGTCACCCTCGGTGCTATTTTTAGTACCATGGTCCCAGTCCCCACAGGCTGCCTGGTTATAGCTGGAGTCAAGTAGCAGCCACACAAGGCCCC